CCCTCACCAGAATGGAGGAGCGAGATCAGTTGGATAGAATTATGAAGTCAACATAAGACTCACTTGGTCATGACACACGCCATGAGATGACAGCAACGTCCCTCAAACCACGCAACGCCATCTCCACCACCAGCGTCGACTCGCGAGCGATACTTCAGGACAGCCTTGAGCAGACCGTCGAGTCGTCCCTTCTCCTCGGGCTTCTTGATCCATCGTTCATAGCCATACTTAAGCTCAGCACGTAGTGGCGGCTCGACATAGTAGCGCAACGCGGAGTCCGTGAACTCTAGGACCCGCTCCGGCGTGTAAGAGAATGTCAGCAGCGTGCTGGGCTGCTGGAAGGGTACGGGAGTAGTAACTTTGTTCTTTGAAGGATATGGAAATTCATATGTTTCCGGTTTGCTATCCTGGCTGTCTTTGTCGGAGGATTCAACTTTCGGTCTCCTCGCCAGTCTCTCGGACTCGGCCGCGTCCTCAACGTCGACCCCGGGGGCGGCTCGCTTCTGCGACGGCATCTACACGTGCCGGTTGTTATTCTATGGCACTCATGCGGGGAGACTGCAGGCATACCGACTTTAGGCTGGAGGTAGCGGGATCAAGCCGGTGAGGGGTTGTAGCGAAGGAGCAATGCCCGCCTCGTTCTCGTGATGATCACAGATGATGCAGCGCATGGTCTGATATGGAGATAGTTTGATACGCCGACGTCACTTGGTTGACCAACAACTAGCACGATTGCGACAGAACCCCATATAAAATTATAAAATGCAAGGAAACCGCATAATAGCATTTCCAATTCTCATAACCTACTTGGAAGACTTCCTTGAATTCAGGCTTACTTTCATATGCTGATCTACTGTATTTGCAGAGGATAGCAGATCAATGAAGTATGGCCATTTTGCGAGAGAACAAAGCGCACGGCAAACTGAGCCGACTCGACGTTCGCCAAGGTGCTCCATTCATTGTTACTTCGAGACTTGCCCGCTGCTGCCAGAAAGATGATAAAAGTAGGGGAAAAATCATAAGTGTGCGTGTGGAAATCGATTTTCGTTCTCGTATTGAGGGTGACGAACGCCAGGAGTGTAGCAGAATATAACGCAGTGAACTCTACGACAATCTCAACTACAGAGTTATATGCACTGTACCTCTCCGCCCCGGTCATTCTCACTGCTCGCTAGACGAAGAAAGTCCGCAAAGTGATCAGAGGGGTCGTGGTAAGGTGAGGTCAGATTGCTGAGGTAGGCCTACGCAATCTCCGAGTCCATGAGGCGGCTCGCATGTCCCGGAAGGCAGGATAGCCGCATATTGACATGCGCACGGATCACATAGCTGACGGAGTGGTAAACGTGCCTTGCAATGGCGGAGCTTTTGTTTATTTAGTGTGTACAGTGATCCTGTCATGAATATCACATATTCCGGATGGTTCTCCCAGATTCCTCAGTATTCTTTTACTTTCTATACGCCTCTGTATATTCGTAGGATATTCCAGGTATTCAGTCTGACATGTATATAAGGAGCTCGTATTGCTCAATAACAAGCCAGATTCGAGCTGGTCTTTACTCACTCACATTCCTCTCGTCTGTCTCCTCAGCATTGTCGTAGCTCAGTCCAGTTGGATTGTTAGTTGCTGACATTAGCTCGAGTCTCCACCAACTGCCCTACAACAATCCTCGTCACTCCCACACCAACCATCACACATCTCCACACGACGATCCACCCTATACGCACATCCGACTCTCACCCTAACTCCTAACCCTACTGACTCTACCGCATCAAGACCCGGACCTCTGGAATCCTTCTCCGTGCATTTGCACAACCTTTTTACCACATCACACCTCCGAAGTCACCTCTGTAATCACTAGCCCTTAGGCAGCTAGACAGAGCTCCGTCCAATTAGAATCGTACCCTGCCCTATCATAGGCGGCGTTACATGCTTTGCAGCAGGCAAGCGGATATTCCTGAGTACGACGTGGCAACTGGTTGTGGCCAGGCGTCGGAAAAGCGACAACAGTTAGATCGACGATCCCTTTCCAGGTGTCGGACTGAAGAGACACAAGTGCTCTTTGGGCTGTTGTAGTAAATCCTAGAACTGTATTAAGATAGCGTTTCGGTTCTTTTTTGAAAACTCCCATCTTTGGCGAATTCTACCTCTGATCTGGTCGTTCCAACATGATTGGTCCCAGAGTTGCTGCAAACAGCTTCACAAATTTGTTAGCATATGACCTCTAGATCCTCTTGTGGCTGTAGAGGATACAACCACCGAGAACTTGAAGGACGATCCATCTATAACAATAACGGAACAGTACGCTATTGTTCGCAACAACCGTGTCCACATTCCCCAAGAAATACTGAGTGCTGTCCTCGGTGCGAAGAAGGATTACTCGGAGAATTACTAGAAAGAGTTTCCACTGGAGCACCTAACAAATCCCTCGCTGTCTCTCAACCAGTAGCATCTGGCTCAGAACCCACAGAAAGATGCAACACCCTCGATTCAGTCACCGAACATCTCTGATCAATCACACTCGGAGAATCCGCAGTACTACCAGAAGGTCCCCCAGACCCCGTAGAAGAAGCTGTGGAAGATTCCAAACCACCAAGTCCAATTCACCGGTGATCTCCCACCCCACCATCTTCTCCATCTGACCCCGGCGCAATGGCCGAGAATCAAGACAATGCCGCGTTCCTAAATGGAAGTGCAATGAAGCCCAATGCCTTCAACGGCACAAAGTCCAAGTATATTGCTTGGAAGACTCAAATGAAGCTTTAAGTAGTCACGCAAAGGAATCGGCTACCTGAGCAGTTCGACAGGGTTCTCATGATCCTGTCCTACATGAAAGGTGGACACGCGGGCAAATATGTCACCACGTTCATGAAGAAGTACGACACAGACGAAGAAACCGTGGTACAGAACACGAAGACGCTGTGGGAAGACCTAGATAGGCACTTCCTAATCGATGAGCAGGCCAAAGCGTATGATCGGCTCCAAGCCATGCAGATGGGGATGCTATCAGCACAAGAGTTTTTCTCGAAGTTCAAGTTGTGTGCCTTCCAGGCAAATGTTCACGACTTCGAAGCACACTTCCAAGAACTCAAGTTGCTTCTAGAAAAAGCACTCCGGACCGACATCATTTGGCTTCTGTACAATTCCTCGGAAGAACTTCCAACCACCTACGCGCTCTACAAGCTACGGGTCGCGCGCATCGACCTGAATCAGCAGCAATACCGAAGGCAGAACCCACAGTCCCAATGACAGGGGCAATTCCAGCCTCGACAGCAACCGGCGCAGAATGCACCACGAGCACAGACTAGTACAGCCGCGCCAGCAGCTACTACCGCACCAGTCCAGACAAGGCGCGATGGGACCGGTGTTACTTTCAGAGGAAGGGGACAGCCAATGGAGTTAGACCAGGTGCGACACCTTGGTCTCTGTTTTCGATGTGGCCAGAAGGGCCATCTCTCATGAAATTGCCCTAACAGGCAACAAGCCCAACAAGTACGGGCCGCAGAGACATCGGAGATCTCCGTCTCCAATAGCTTCACCCCACTCGTGCCTCTCACTGAAGCACCTGCCACGACAGCAGAACCATTCGATTGGAAAACGGTGATTCGTGAAGAAATTCGCGCGGCCATGAAGGGTTTTGCAAGCGGTCAGCCAGGCATGTAGCCGAGTTAACTGAACATAACTTTACGAACTATCTGTGTTCCTGGTTTGGAGTACCCATGTATATACCAGAAAAAGGGGTGTCTGCAGAGCAGCGCAGAGAGGTGCAACCCTCTTGCTTAATTCCCCCCAATAAAAAATTGTTCTCTACTCCAGAACAACAGAATGAATCTATGCAGTGGCAGCGCCACACCTCATGGATGGCGGCATGGATCCGCCAGTGGATAGTCAGCAAGGAAGCAGCAGCACTTAGATTGCTGGCTGAATGGGTACACTCAAAGAAGAGTGTGGATGCATCAGAAGCCTGTATGAGCCAAATCAGGCAAATGGAAGAGGAGGAAGCGATCGACTTTCTAAATGAATTACGAAAACAGCCTCGCTTCATCCGAGGAAGGAAAGGAACACAAATGGATGTTCCTATGATCATCACTACTCTAGATACACAACAATGCTTATCAGTCAAAGCGCTGTTAGATACAGGATGCACGGGTTCATCCATCAATGCCCAATTTGTACGCGATAACAACATCGCTACTAAGAAGTTGCCATCCCCGATCCCAGTGTACAATTCTGACGGCACGCATAATGCCGGCGGCGCTATCACAGACTTTGTAGAATTAAGGGTCAAAATTCAGGATCATGTGGAACGGCTTCCTTTTGCCATCACTAATCTTGGAAAGATGCCTATATTTCTTGGCTACGAATGGCTCCAGATCCACAATCCCTTGATTGATTGGCAGGAACAAGTTATTCAGTTTGATCACTGTCCGATCACCTGTAAATACGCTGCCCGATTGATTGATATTGATACCGATCACGAGGAGCCCAGCGATCCGGAGGCTCACCTAGAAGAAGAGGATAGAATCTTTATTCTAGACCACGAAACCTACTTTGCTACAGGAGCGGCACGTATACGCACCACGGCCACAGATCTGGCAATCAATGAGAATCTGAAACACGAGGCTAAGACCTTTGAAAATATGGTCCCAGGCCACTACCACGACTACTCCAATGTATTTAGCAAAGAAGATTTTGATTCTCTACCACAGAGGCGACCATGGGATCATGCGATTGAACTCACTCCGGGTGCACAACTGATTAGCTGCAAAGTTTATCCGATATCGGTTAATGAACAAAAAGAACTTGATGAGTTTATCAAAGAGAACCTCAGGACCGGGAGAATCTGACCATCAAAGTCACCCTGGGCCTCACCTTTCTTCTTCGTCAAAAAGAAGGATGAACGTCTCCGACCCGTGCAAGATTATCGGAAGCTGAACGAGCTAACGATCAAAAACTGATATCCACTTCCCCTGATACAGGAATTAGTTGATAAGCTAAAACAAGCGTGATACTTCATGAAGCTAGACGTTCGATGGGGGTATAATAATATCCGCATCAAAGAAGGCAATGAAGAGAAAGCCACCTTTCTCACCAATAGAGGATTATTTGAACCTCTGGTCATGTTTTTCAGACTTACCAACTTCCTGGCTACATTCCAAATGATGATGAACGACATATTCCGAGATCTCATCAGTCAAGGACACGTGGTAGTCTACTTAGATGATATCATGATCTTCACTCAAGATTTGAAAGAACACCGCCAGATCACGCGGCAAGTTCTGCAGATCTTAAGAGAACACAAACTTTATCTAAAACCAGAAAAGTGCGAGTTTGAGAAGGCAGAAATAGAATACCTCGGAATGATAGTGGGAAAAGGCGTCGTCCGCATGGACCCGGTCAAGATAGAGGAAGTAATCAACTGGCCAAGACCGAGTGCAAACGAGACATTCAAGCATTCCTCGGCTTTACCAACTTCTACCAAAGATTCATCCGAGATTATGGCAAAATAGCAAAGCCGCTCAGTTTGTTAATGGGCAACGCTACCTTTGAATGGAATGTTGAACAAGAAGTAGCATTCACGAACCTAAAAAACACACTTTGTTCGGCCCCAGTATTAGCCATACCCAACAATAATGATCCCTATCGAGTGGAATGTGACACCTCGGACTTTGCTGTAGGAGCGGAGTTAGCCCAGAAACAAGATGGCAAATGGAAGCCCGTTGCTTATCTGTCGAAAGCTATGACAGCTGCCAAAAGAAATTACGAGATCTACGATAAAGAACTTCTCGCAATCATGACTAGTCTTGATGAATGGTGCCAGTACTTCATGGGCGCCCTACATCCGTTTGAGATATGGACGGATCACAAAAACCTAGAATACTTCTGAAAGCCGCAGAAACTTAATCGATAACAGGCTGATAGGTAACCGAGTTGGCCAAATGCCAATACTCGCTGCATTACAAACCCAGAAAATCCAATGGCAAGGCAGATGGACTATCTCATCAAAAGTGACACAACGCAGAAAAGGAGGACAATTCGGATATTGTGTTACTAAAACCAGAACATTTTTGTGCCCTGATCTGTAGTACCGTATTTAGTCTAGAAGGAATTGACCAGGACTGGGTCACAGAAATTAAAAAGTACAAAAAGAATCAGGATTTGCTAGTTACTGTAGCTTTACAGAACAAGGACAAGGACTGGAACGAAGATAGTACCAGACTCGTGACATGGAAAAATCGTATCTATGTACCAGTAAATAGGAAACTCCGTGAACAGATCATTGCTCACCATCATGATACCCCATTGGCTGGACATCCTGGCCAATACAAAACACATAAAATGGTCACACGCAACTACTGGTGGCCTAGAATTTGAGAAGACATCCGAAAGTATGTGGCTGGATGCGAGAAGTGCCAGAAGACTAAGGTTCACACTACATGACCTACCGGACTTCTATTCCCCAATGAGATACCCACATGACCTTGGGAGGTGATCTCCATGGACGAAATAGGCGTACTGCCTGAATTCTTTGGATACACGGCTATTCTCATAATTGTCTGTATGTACTCAAAACAGATAATCGCGATACCAAGCAACATCAAACTCAATGCCAAAGGATGGGGGAAAGCGCTTCACGATCATGTGGTTGCACATCATGGACTACCCCGAAAGATCATTAGTGATTGAGGCCCTGAATTCAAGAATAAAGCCATCTCTGAACTATACCGATCGCTCAGAATCGAAGCCAATCCCTCGATCGCATATCATCCGCAGACAGATGGGCAGACAGAACGCATTAATCGCGAGATAGAAAAGCATCTCCGACTGTTCATCAACTACCGACAAGCAGATTGGGCCAAATGGCTGCCACTCGCAGCATTCTCGTACAATAACAAAGTTCATTCTTCTACCAGATATACTCTTTTCTTTGTTAACAAAGGATACCATCCTTACAAAGGGACTCAACCGGTACACAAAGGACTGAGTGAAAGTGTCCAACAATTCATCGACCGAATGAGTCAAGTACGTGAAGATACTAGTGCAGCTATTGGACTAGCACAGGAATCGATGAAACGCTTCTACGATAGAAAGAGGAAGAACAGACCGGAGTACAAGGTCGGAGACAAAGTTTGGTTAGAAGAGATCAACATTTGAACCAATAGACCAATGAAGAAACTTGACAATAAGCAGTATGGACCATTCAAAGTCAAATGCAAAGTCGGCACCGCAGCCTATGAGTTAGAACTCCTGCGTCAATGAAAACAACACCCTGTTTTCAATGAAAGTCTTCTCAGTCCCTTCATAGAACCTACATACCTGTCACAACAGCATGCACCCGTGATCCCAGACCTCGTAAATGGCGAAGAAGAATGGGAAGTAGAAGAGATTCTTGATTCATGCTGTGATCGAAATGGAAATCTCGAATACCAAGTCCTTTGGAAGAATAGCCCTCATGGTGATTGTCGTACTTGGGAATCACGAGTGAACTTGACCAATTGTCAAGAACTGCTCTAAGATTTCCATGCGAGACATCCAAATAAACCCGCGTCCATAACGATCTGTATTCCCCCTCTTCTGACATGACCTGTTCACATGCTCACACGTGATACCACTCTCCTGGTGCAACAAATGGGAGGAATTCTTCTGAAACGTGGATCAGAAGAAGCTGCTGGTCTCGATCTTTACTCCGCTGAAAGCGTTAAGATACCGGCACAAAGTCGCAAAATTGTCGGCACTGGCATAACAATGCGTGCCCCGCACGGGACTTATGCCTGAATCACACCACGGAGCAGATTAGCAGTCAAAGGGATTGACACTGGCACTGGAGTCATTGACCGAGACTACACCAAAGAGGTACATGTGGTAATGATCAATACCACCAATCAACCATTCCAGGTACGCGCCAGCGATCGGATCGTTCAAGTCATTTTGGAATGCATTGCATCATGCGATATCAAGGAGGTGTCGAGTTTAACAGAAACTCAGCGCAGCACGGGAGGTTTTGGATTCACTGGTAAATAATCGTGAGGACAGGATTCTAAAGGGGGGGTAATGTCATGAATATCATGTATTCCGGATGGTTCTCCTAGATTCCTCAGTATTCTTTTACTTTCTATACACCTCTGTATATTCGTAGGATATTCCAGGTATTCAGTCTGACATGTATATAAGAAGCTCGTATTGCTCAATAACAAGCCAGACTCGAGCTGGTCTTTACTCACTCACATTCCTCTCGTTTGTCTCCTCAG